ACTCGTGTTTCCTTGCATAGGATAAACATCATATAAACAACAAGTTTGTGTTTATAATACCTTTACTCTTTCCTGGCTAAGATAGYTAAGAAGGCTTCCTGAAGATTCCTGCAGGATGCTGATTCAAAAGTCACCCAGGGAARTGCTTCTGTTGGAAGCTGTGGACATGGATTTGAATTTTGCTCTAGCAGAAGAGCAATCTTTGTTCTGATAGAAACACATAATTTGAAAATCAAAATGAGATGAGCTCAAAATTGGATTGAACAGGATGACTATTTCCATTGCATGGTGGATTCAGTTATTCTAGAATCACTAGAATAAACTTTCATTGTCACATTTAGTGGAGGAAAAGAACATTATGCTAATATTTGACTTTATTCACAGCAATACGCTTTTGTGTCTTGAGGGGGTGGATGATTACAGTCCAGCAGCGCCATGGATCAGAGCAGGGATGTGTTGCTCAAATCAGAGCCTTCTGAAAGACAGTTTTRCCCTGTGATAAGTGACTGGCCTTTGATGGTATAATTGAGTGAGTGGGTTGAATGGGAAGGCAGAWTTTTTTCGCTCCAGTCATGACGTACACAAATGGTGTAGAAAACTGACACAAACAGAGATGTACTTTTGAGGGGRAAAAGGGATGGGATTCAAGTGTGCTTTAAATTGAGTTGGTGTGRCTGGACAGTCAGATTTATGAATTATTACCATGGGTTTGTAAGGGAAGAACAAGTCTGTAATTAGGGAAAGGCTTCATCCATTATATACAAAAGTAATCCTACTAAATTTTGCTGACTTTAATTTTGAATGAGGAGCTGGTTCTGCTGAGGCTGGCAGTACCTTCAGGTCCTGGGAGAGCAGTTTTATTTGCACCTCATCCCATTGTCCTCATTGTSCAAGGAAGAGAAAGGTGTATTTGGCACCTGGTGGTAAAGAAGCTGTGCAGTTTGTGCCAGTGCTGAGCTGCCACTGAGTTCATAAACCAAATTCCTCAGAGTTGGGTGGAGATTTTCTTGGTTCATCTTCATCACTTATAATTCATCCAGTTTGTGTAGAGTTACAGGATGAATCAACCTGCGCTCTGTCATGTGTTGGGTGGAATTCAAGGAGCTCMAAGTGTGCTGACAGGAGTGTGTCCCTTTCCCAGAACTTATTTCACACATCCAGGGGAGTGCTGAGCAAGGGCTTGGTGGGAGAGGGAGTGCAGCTACGTGGAGACGAGAGGGTATTTTTGGTTCCTGGCACAGGAGCTGAAATTAGGCAAATCATTGGGAATAAGTCCAGAGGAATGATTTTTGTATGATAGACTAAAAATTACTCTAGGTGACACAGGGCTGGGAACTGAAGTCATTATCCTGAGGGAAGGAAAACCAGAATAGAAAGGTGGAGGGTTTTTATTTCCCTGTTCTCTTCATCTGAAACTAAAAGGTGAACAGTGGTGCTTGGCCTGCAGAAGTGTAGGGATTTCTTTGTTTGGGGTTTTTAAGGGCTGAAGCCTGTTGGTACTTTTTCTCTTATTGACAGGAAGTAAAACTGGGCTATCGAGAGAATCTGTGCTGGAAAAGAAACCAATGCTTTAAAGTATTCTAAGATTATTGATGAGCATGTACACACATGAATAATTAAAGGAGAGCTGTATCAGAACTACTAATTCAGTTATTTCCTGCTTTAGTTAGCTGGGAGAATGTTCAGCTTTCATACAGTTTGTTGTATGTGTCAGAACTGCACAGTGAGGATTCAGTTCCTGTTTTTATAGCAGTACTGTGTAAACTGGAGTATTTTACTAAAGTTTAATGTCTGTGTTAGGASCACCTGTACACATTACTGCTGCTGAGGGAGCTCTGGGTTGCTGTTTTGAGTTGTTTGTTTTTTGGKTTTTTTTTTGTCATGTTYGCTGGCACRCGGCCTAGAGGTTGGAATAAGTGCCTGGTATTTTTGTCATTATTTTTACAGTGAAATGGGCAGAAAAAAACCCCCTGAATTGTTTTGGCAAACAATCATCTGCTCTCACGTCAGCCCTGAGAATAGGCTGGCATGAGGTGGCAGAGAGCAGTTAACATGGGTTTGGCAACATGCTTGTTTAAAATTATGCCTGCTCTGCTAGGGAAAACAGACTAAATGAAGGTTGTCAGGGAGATTGCTGGGATTCCTCTCTTGGTTAATGCTTAACTCAGATGTTGTTTGCTCTCCTCAACGCTTCAGTATCACTTGGGAAATAGATAATTCTGTCGGGTACCTAGGAAATGGGAAGTGCTCAAAAGTGTCAGGTCTGSTTTGACAGAGCTGGTGTATCTCACCAAGGACTTGGCAAGTTGAGCATCTTTTGGTTGAGATGCTGAAGTCAAACTGTTTACAGAAGTTCATGGCAGAAGAAGGGTCATAAAAAGGAGCAGGAGAGGATGCTGGAGAGGAGACAAAATATAAGAGGGAAAATAGTTTGAAGGATGATTAAATATTTGTCTATCAGAGACACTGCAATCACTGTTCTTGGAGGTTTTCAGGTTTTGAAAGCTGGACAGAGTCTTTAGCTTGCTGATTYGAATTTGGTGGGTGACCCTGCTTTTTGGGCAGGAGTTTGGACTGCACTGAGAAAAGAATGACATCCTTTCAAACATCTGTGATTCTGTGAGTCAGCCTTAAAAAGCGGTGCTGTAACAGGGTTTACAGTGCTCTGGGAGTGTTAGAACACTGTCTAACTAGAAATGACCATGGCCAGTGCTTTTTGGTGGTGTTTTTTAATTGAAGTTAATACTGTGTCAGTTGAGGACCAGCAGAATCACGTGCAGTGGCCAGTGCCATGCTAACCCACGTGGCTTTACCCCAGGTTTGTTCAGGTCTAGGGGAGCTGTTCAGTGACAGATGCTCCATTTACTACAAACCACATTTCTGAAAGAGGCTGCCTTCTGCGTGTGATGTGGCCTTTAACAGTAGATTAGGAAAAAGATGTTGTGCAACTTGAAAAACAAATAATTGGGGGAAAGAGAGAGCTCCTTTAATTGGAGACCTAGTGGATTTGGTGATTCACCCAACAAGGAGTATCTCATACTATGTTGTAAAAGCTGAAATTGGTTGTGCTTGATACTGGAGTCTTTTAAACCTCGTGAGCTTTGAGATGAATCAAAAGGTATGAACTCAACGTTCTGACTAATGTGCCATAACCTAACGTCAAGCAGTGGGATAAAAGCTTTTATGAAGGAGTTTTAAAACAGAAGTAAGCTGAGTATGCTKGGGAAGAGGCTTCCCAGCTGTGTTACCCCACCCATATCAGTGCAGGCTTAAGGAGTGATTTAAATGTGTTTATCAATCTCTGTCAGACTGACTGTGCTGCAGAACCTACAGAAAAAAAAAAGCTGTGTGCTTTTTGCATGACTCCTTTAGATATCTGTGTACTGCATACATGAACTATGAGTCAGGTTGAGCAGAGATTTTTGGCAATCAAATAAAATGTATTCCATTTGAGATCACGGTGTCTCTGAGTGAAATCTCTGCATGCCTGCGGAGAGTTCTTGTTTCAAGTGTATGCTTGAGGAAAAAGTGCACCGAAATGCTTGTATTCTAAAAGAGTCCTGTTCTTATTAGATCAAACTCAGGATATTTCAATAAGTGAAGTTATCTAGGGTGCAACCATTACTGAAGAGTAAAATTAATATCTTGGGAAACTTTTGTTGCTTAGAATGATTCAGGTCAGGCACTGTGCTGACGTGGGAGGGTCGGGCACACTTGATGCTGATGTTCAGGTAAATGCTTTAGCTTTTAATGTGAATTGCTATTGACACCATGTAAGGGAGGTGATAGCAACAGTGATAAACCTCTCTGGCTGTGGTAATGAAACTTCCTGAACTGCWGCTTGTAAGACAAAACTGTAGAGCTGTTCTGTACACTACAGGAAGCTTTGCAAACAAAGCAGATTCCACCTAGGCAGAGGGAAAGGGGTTCTCAGAACTGACAAAGTGCAAAGCAATAAAGTGCTGCTTTCTGATCCTTCAGACAGTGCTGCTGAATATCCAAGTGTTTAAGGATGAACTTTTGGTTTTGTGCCACTAGGAAAGCTTGTTAATGATACTGGGATTGCTGGTGGCCCAGTAGAAGGAAAAGATAGGTCTAAAAACTTGGAGTGGGTTACAAGATGACTTCACATTCTCTGCATCACTTGCGGTTCTCTAGACGTAAGCAATAAAGCCATAATGGCTGATAACTTCCCTCTAATTCTTTTCATCCTTGTCCAAATTTRRAGTAAAACAAGCAGTGGCAGTTGCTGCTGAAGCAACTGGCAATTTCAGTTGGTTCTTCATCAGTTGSCTTGTTCAACCTTAAAACCACAAGAAGTTAGGAAATTACTAAAATGAATGGTTTTATGCAGTTGCTTGCAAGTTGTRTGACATCATTCTTTGCATTCAGGTTTTGGGTTTTTTTAAAATGTACTAACTTTGTTTAACAGGAAGTATGGTTCTTTCCTTAAGATCTGCTATGGTGGTAGAACAAGCAATTTTGAGAAATTAATGGTTGAAAAACTTCCTTTAGTGTTTGTGTAGCAATTAATAAGGTTCCAGGTAGACAAAGCTAACTTGCCTTAAATTCACATATTGTTTATAGYAATTGACAAATTCCTTGAAAGTTCAATTCTGGAACAAACCACACATGGGAATTTTAGGTTTAATACAGCTCCTGAAGGTTTTTGGTTCACCTAGGTGTGGTAATATTTGGCCTGAAGGTGTAGTGCATACAGCAATGTCACCACACCTTTTCTGTTACATAAGACAGAAATGTTCTTAAGAATTTCTATCAGAGGCTCCTCCTCTGTAAGCAGGAAACTGTCACTGGAGTGAGAAAAGAGGAATGTCGAGGTGGTGGCTTTCTTGTAAGGTTCCCTTCCTTTTAGTGATCCTCAGAGCAAGTCTTTGGAGACAAGACGGTATTGGAGAAAGTAATAGATACAGTGAATGTGTGTTTGCTGTCTGCAAGTGTTCCTTGCATAGTGTTATTTCTCTCACCTGTCAAATGATACSATGGGCTTCCTCATTGTTCAGTACAATGTAATTCCTCTCTGTTCACAGGAGGCTTCATTTCCTACTTCCCCAAAGGACAAATAATCTGAGGATGCTGTTATAAACAGGAAAGAATAGGGAAAAGAGCAGAGACCTTGTTTGTAACACAGCAGCTGTACATTGTTTAACCCAATATTCTTTGGCTATTGAGTTCCATTATGGTCCATGCTCATGGAAATTATTCAATCTTGAATTTSTGTTSTTTGAGGAAAAGYTAGAGTTCCYTGCTATGACAGCAGCATTTTTCCAAGTTTCAATATCACATCATTTATTGTTAAGGGAGAAAAACCATCAACTTATTGTAGTGTAGGGATCAAATAGTGCTCTGATGAAGTACTTGCTCTTTCCTAGTAGTTCTGTGTCCTGGAAGGCAGACAGCATTATTGTAAGAAGTTGTTGACATGATCCCTGTGACCATGTTCCAAGGGTGCAGAGTACTGACAAATGAATGGCTTTCAAAGTGATTCCAGCTCCTCTGGCTCGCTGCATCCCTGCTGCTGCCAGTTGGTTTGTGGGCTGTCTTTTGCTTGGTTGRTTTTGTGTTTTCTTGCTTACAAAACAACCCAAACAATGCAAATACACATGTTCTCACTTCCTCAAAGTCTATCAAACACAATATTCTCCATTCTCAAGGAGCTGCCCAGTATCCATTGAAGCTCTTCCAGCTTGCTGTGGGTGTTCTGCTTTATTTTTAAGTGTATCGATCCTCTCCCAACAGATGCATTCTGGCAGTTTWACTTCTCAAATGGTTTCAGAGGAAAACCCAAATGGAGTCTGACACTTATTTCAGTGTTTACTGTACCCACAAGAGCAAGAATTTTTCTGTACAACCACCAACATGCAGTTAAGAATCTTACCAAAGCTGTTTTTGCATGTAACAGCAAGAGAGGGTGGCAGAACCTGAGCCTCGCCCTGTGCAGGGGTATTGGGCTATACTTGCATATAATGCCACAGAAGAAGCAAATAATCAGAAATGAAAAAATGTGCCTAAGTATTAGAGTGAAGAAATTTCTCAAAGCAGTTCCTGCTTAGTTTTTTTAGGATGATTTCAAACCAATTGTTTTGATATATTTTTTTCCAGTTGAACTGTTCCAGAATACGTCAAAAACACTTCACAATAACATTATGCCAAAAAAACCCAAAAGCCAAGTTCCCTAAGAACTCCAAGCTCCGAAGTCAAACAACCCCATTTTTGATAAACAAGCAGCAGAGATACAGTGCTGAGCATGGAACTGCCAGGCACACTTTGCAGGAAAGCAACAGACAGTGCAGTCAGCCCCCAAAACATCCATGGCCACACTGGGAACTCCTCTGAGCTCCTTTTCAATCCAGTCCTGCAATTCTCTCCAACGACTGTTTGAGTGACAAGTTTAGCAAGTGATCTCAGTCTATTTTCTTAGGGAAAAAAAAAATAAAAACCACATTCTAATTTTCTTCCAAAGCCTCTGATACCCTTGCTGTATGTGCAGGAAATAGATTACACTGACATTGCCAAGCAGTCCTGCCCAGTACCAGTACAGTAACAAGGACTTGGACAGATGGCTTTGTCTTGATAAAGTGTATCTGACACTTTTTAAAGGCACCAAATATATGCATGGAAAGCTGCAAAGAATTTTTTGAAATTATTCCAATGCACTCCTAATCTAGTAGCATTTTACTAAAGGAAGCTTAGGAGGTACAACTCTTGAAATAAGCTTTCTTATCAAGCAAASCATAGAACATAATTGGCACTCAACTATCTCAATCCTATTTGTTAAAAATCCAGTGTTTTTCAAGAAAGACTATTGAAGTCTCCATTACCAAGATTATTAGATTTGAAAGTGAAATAATTGAAGCCCAAAATAAATGCAATGCTAGTCTGCAAATGACAAAAATTTAAACGCTATATGGCACCACTGTATATGCTTAGCCTGACAATCCAGGACCATGGAGAAGTGTAATTCCTGTCCTTATTTCCCCATTTTCACTGACAATTGGTGCAGTCCCATGTGCTGTCTGCACACTGTCAGTTATGATTGCCTCCTTCTYATCTCTTTATGCCAATCCTTACCTGTGCTAGTGCAGCTGAGGCATTGCCTGTGGCACATGAAGAATCCTTTGGGTACATGGAGCTCTTGTGCAAAACTCTTCATTTCTCTGCTACACTTACTCTATATGTRTTTAGTGGAATGTTTCGAGTGGAAGTTTCTTAATTAGCCCTTTTTAGCCTTCCWTGGTGTTTTGTACCTGCTTATTTTTGTGAGTTGTGAATGGTGGTTTTTTTAAAAAGTTGATGGTTGTTTTTTTGGCAGTTGTTTGTTTTGGGTTTTGTTTGTTTAAGATGTGTCTTGTTGAACCTGTTGGTTGATAGCTGTGCAATGCCACTGACATTTTGAAATTAARTACTAAAATCCACAGGTAGGATTTCTCAATAACAATGGGAACACCAAACKAAAAAGATTTTCAATGCCTGTTGTAAGAGCAGGGTTTGCCATACCTCTTAACCTTTGTAAAGAGCCTGATTAGTTAAAAACCTCTTAGAACATGAAACCTGCACACTGAGGCCAGCAAGCTGCACTTCATCCAAGCAGCATTGCAATGCTTGTTTGTTGGGAATCTCAGGAATGGAGGGATGACTCTTTCCAAAGTCTAGTTTGCAAAAGTTTTAACAGTGAACTGCTGCTGGATTTGCAGTGAGGAWTGTAAAAGCTGTGGAGCACTAGTCTGTAATGAGAAGTGTGCTGTCTGTAATGACCTGACTGTCCTGCAGCCACCCTTGCCCTGTGTCTCACAAGCAGCAATTTTGTTGGCCTAGACTGATGTGAAACTGCAGCATTTGGAAAAAAAAGCTTTAAATTTTGTAAGTTTTTTTAAAGCTTACTTATCAATGAACACTGAGAAATCATTGTCTGAGACAAACTTTTCAGAACAGTAATGGCAGTTTGAGCTACAAATAATAATAAAGTTCAGTTGTCTTCCTCAASTCCTTTTGTATCTTCAGTTAAAAATCTGATGAAATTAAGACTAAGTTTGTTTACAGTGGTTTTTTCTTTCAATTTCTGAATTTACTGTTTTATAAAAGCTTCATTGAAGTTGTCTGGGAAAGTGCTGTTTTTGAACAGTCTGCTTTTGGAGTATGGTGATGGTGTGCTGAGAGAAAGCTGTTTCAGTTCCTCTCAAGCTCTGTTTTCAGTCAGATCAGAGCTTGGGGGTCTCTCTSTCCCCTTGCACAGACTCAGGGTGTGGAGATGGCTCTTGGCATCAGCCCATGGCACTTTGGGAGGGTCAGTGTCCCCTGTGGTTCCCATGCCTCTGGCATGTGTTCCTCCTTGTGATGGCTGAGACATCTCCCAGCATGGCAATTCAACAATTGGTGCCCTCTGCTGTTAATGATTTACCAGCCAGGGTGACCCTCGYGCTTTATTTAGCATGAGGAATCATCAGACTATTTTTTTTTTTGGAGCATTGCTCATTTCTGGATGGTCATTCTCCTGGGGGAGGGGGAAATTAGAGCATTTGGGAGAAGCTGGCAGCATCCTGCCATCCTGTACCAGGACAGTGCTGACTTTGTGCTGCCAAATGCTTCCCTTCTGCATTTTGCATCACATGCTCCTGTTCCCACTTTGTACAACCCCAGGGAATGTTTCTCTCCGTGTTCAGGCTCTAGGTTAAGGCTTAGTTTAAAAATTTAAATAATACATATTCAAGGAGTTTGTGAAGCAAATAGCTGCGAGGCAAACAAGATTTTTCCATATGGTGTCCTATAGWCCAAATGTAAATGTGCAACAATAGTARCRAAACCATCGGCATTGCTCAATTYGAGTGTTTTTGAGACAGCAGATGGATTACAACAGTCATTTCCAGGTTTTTCTGAGAGCATGGTGAATGCTTCTTGAAGTGTGAAAAATATACTAAACCAAACATTAGCWACAAAATTAGTAAAAATATAATTCACAAAATGTCAGGTGTACTTCACCATGGATAAAGGTCTTGAAAGGCCTGCATGAGTTTGTAGTCCTGGTTTCTGCACATCAGCATTTATGACTTGGTTRTCTTTTCACAATTTCCTAGATGCCTTTTTAGATTTAATTGCAAAATTGAATATGTTAACAGATGGTTAAATTGTCTAATGGGAACATTATTCATTCTCTGAACTGAAGAACAGAGGTTGTAGGAGTRAGTTCTATTTTGTGACTAAGACCTAGATTCAAGTTGCAGACGACTTTCTGTATTTCAGATATTAACCAGGTTTGGGTTTTGTCCTGTTAAACTCCCTTAGCCCAGGGCCTCATATGGGAAGTTATTCCCTTCCTGGTTGTATGCAAATTAAAAAGCACTTGTCCTTGAGTGAAGCTTTACCTTGGCTTTTGCAGGTGTTGAGGTCGAAGTAAATTTTGGAAAATGGCCATATCAGCTCAGTTTCAAAAAAAACCCATGAAAGTTAAGAAAAGGTCAAGTTTATCATTATTACCCCTCGAAAATGAGCTTTGCTGGGAGCAGTGGGAGCTGCTCCCTGGGCTTGCAGCCTGGTCAGAAATGGGTGTCCCAGCACATCTCGATTTGCCTGGGCACTGGAATGAAAGTTGCTGTTAAGTTTAGAAGTTACCCAGATGATCATTTTTCATTCTGCATGGGTTGAACTGGGAGTTAACTGCTGGTTTGATTGTTGTGCTGCAAATGAGAATCCTGAGTGTAACAATTAAGAACATGGCAAAGTAATACATAAATGTAATCAATCCATGTAAACACAGCTCAGTTTGCAACTCRCGGCCAGCTTAAGTGATTTGCAAGGTTTTATTAAAACACAAGTTAGAAAAATAAGTTTAAAAAGTAGAGTTGCTGTGAGTTTTGCATTAAAAGTTGATGCAATCACCTCAAGTAATTTAATTCAGTGAATGTGATGTTGCTGCTCTAGCCTGCATTAAGTTTGCATGAGGAAATAGTGATTTCTATATCAAGAACTGTAGTGAACTATGAATATATTTCTGCTGTTTTCATGTGCAAGATTTYGATTACTCTGAGTATTACGTTGGCTGAGACTGACCTTTTGAGATAAAGAATTGTCTGGTGCAGTTGCATTAGTATATGCCATTATTTTTGTGTGCCTTACTGCCATAATCCGTCTGTATTTAGGAAAGTAGCCAGATACAGTCAACTAAAACTGGGAATAGTGAATGGTATTAACTTGATAGACTGGAAAGGCTGTGTTTGAAAGAGAGAAGCTCTATCACTTAAATCTTCTAAGTAAAGAACTGAGTGAATCAGTAGGAAATAGTTCTTGGGTATAGATGCTGAAGAAATTCTGTGGTTTGTGTTGCTACTAAAAACTAGGAGAGAGTTGATATACAATTTAAGACAGCTGTATATGTATTTATACATATAAATATTAATTTGATATCCCTTACTTGCAAATGTTTCCTCATAGAGATTTTTTTGTGAAATTTTTTCCCTTGGGCTGCTCCTGCAAGCAGGGAGTCAGTGTCTTTAACAAGCTGGGTAGATGTAGATTTCTTTTTTGGCTTATGTTGTTCTGGCTGTCTCATAGATGGCTGGAAGAATAATGCTAGAGGACTACAAAGTCTTCAATATCTTAAATTTCCTTCTAGGGAGGTAAACTACTTTGAGGTTATGTTCTGAAATCAGCCTGGAAGCGTGATTTTTTTTTTTTTTTTCACTTGTACAAGAGATTGTCAAAATTGTATGAGGATGTGCAGGTACAGAGCTGCCTTGACTTTGCCTCCAGCTACTTGCAGTGTCTCTCCTACCTGGAAAATGTGCTGCTTATCTTGAGTGGCTGCTGGCAGCAGGAGGAGATCTGGGAAGAGTGTTTGCAGGGTCTGAAAAAATGCTGGCTGCTGTCTGGCTTTAGTATTCTGTATTTTGCCCAGAGGAGTTTGAGTGACACATGCAATATAAGTGTAGAGATGGGGTAGATGATCCTRTTCCAGGTTCTGGGAGAGATTGACAGTACTTAAATGAGAAGAGGAAAAAAAAATCTTCTAGTACAAGYAGCTCCTAAAGCAGGTATGGAGATTTTGAACTTGTTGCTTGCCTGTCTCTGGGTTGGAAAGCTGGTTAGGCTTTACTTCATTATTCTCTGTAATCTCAATTAACAGGTTTGTTTACATAGTGGTAATTGGACATCTTAGTTTGATTTTAAGATTGCAAGTTCCATACTAAGTCCAGGTAGTGAGAATACAGGRGAGCTGTAAGGGAGGGCAGTGCCARCATCTGACTGCACAGATGTCTGTGCTGGGTTAGGCTGAGGTGGAGCTTGTTCAGAACAGCCCATGTGGTGCTGTGTCCTCCATCTGTGACCAACACAGCACTGACAGAAAGAGCCCCAGGATTGCAGGTTCTGCTGACAGCCCTTCCCAGTGTCAAGGATTGCTGCTCCTTGAGAACTCCCACCCAGCAGCAGCGGGGTTGTTCTGGAGGTTGGGTGGGGATAGAGCCAGGACAGCTCATCCACAGTGACCAGAGAGATTCCAAACCCTATCACATCATGGGCCACAAAGGCAGGGCTGCAGGGTGGGGAGGAGGAGTTRTTTCCAGTTCAGCAGTTGCTCAGAAGCTGGGTAGTTATTGGCCTGCTGSTGACAAGTGATGGCTTTTGCATCATTTGTTTCTTTATTTTCTTTTTTTCCCTTCAGTTATTACATTGTCTTTATATCTCAACCATTCAGTTTTTCTTGGTTTTGTACTTCTGATTGGCTCCATGATCCCACTGGGAGTGGCTCTGTAGGAACTGCCCTGTSAGCCAGGGACAGTCCCCTTCACTRTCCCCTGTACTTCTGAATTCCTCTGGAATTCTGTCCCCCCATAAGTTCTACACCTTTACTCCTATTCATGGCTGCTTTGTGTAAATTGAGCAAAGTTCATGAACCAAATCTTCCTTGATGATGATTAGTGATATTKGTGTGCAATATGGGTGGCTTTTTTGGCCATGAATTAAAATGTAGCGTTGCTGGATGCTGTCAGCAGGATTTTTGTGCTGTTGGGGAAGAAGTGACAGAGCACAAGGGAGGGACAGTGGTTTGTGCGTGGTCATTCAGTGACTCTGTGACACAGGGGACAGTCCAGCAGTCCGTGTTTGTTTTGGAAACCCTCCTGAGACACCGTGCTGCTCCTTGTGCAGTAGTGTGGGGACTGCAGCCAYGCAGCTTTTGGGTTCATGAATTAAATACAAGACAAGGTGCAATGGGATGCAGGCTTGTCTTTTTCCCAGAACAGGCAGTAGATTCCATGCCCATTACCTGCAGTTTTGTTAGAACATTTGGTGAAATTTCAAATGCTTTTAATGTTTGAATACATGAAATACAGAGTTCTTTATTCTGAAACAGTAGGTAACACTGTCTTTTTTTCTTTGATTTGTGTGTGTTGTTGTGTTTTTTTTAATAGAATATTCAAATAAAAACTTTGGCAGATGATGTGGTAAGGTCTTTGTAGCATCTTAATTTGCAATGGTAACTCCACGCTGCATGCTACTTTACTCCAAATGTTGTGGACAAAATCACATATTCTTATAAGGATATTAAGCATTAGATTTTTAAAATTGAGTGACTGTTCCTTAAGATGTTAATTGGTGACTTCAGTTGAAGAAGATTAATCATGATTTCTATTTGGAGAAACTTCCTCAACCACAKTTTAAATACTTTAGTAATACTGGGGCTATGTTGAAACTGTTACTCAACAGTTCAAGTGTTATTTCTCTTGACCTTCTCTTTAACAAGAAATGATCTGCAGTGGTTCTTCAAAGCCGGTTGCCACATGGTTCAAGTGGAACCAGTTTGGGTAATAAATGTCTACTAAATGCCAAACAAGTTTGTATTCAGTACTRACTTGATGAAGCTGAATACTTTGAAACTGTTGCAAAGCATTTTTTTAGAAACTGCTATCAAAATTAATTTCATTAAAATGACAACTTTGTATTATATATATAAAATAAAGCCACACTGGCTGGTTAGTTAATGATCTGAAATGAGGAAATCATGCCTGGTCATCATGTAGGAGATTTATTTGTGGCTTTGAAGTGATCTCACCATTGCAATCTCATTAAACAAATTTGGTTAATAAGTTCTACTTTAAACAGATGACAGTGTGGTGAAATTGGATCTTAAATGGCTTTTTGTGACTGTTGAATGGGCTTTTAAATGCAACTTCAGTAAAACTGCGTTTGGTATATGTTGGCTAAATTTGGGTACTCCCTTTAAGGCATTATGATGTGTCCTTGGCCTTTTCACCAGGCTATGCCCTAATTTTGATTTCCAAAAACGTTATTTAACCTATTCAAACAAAGGGATTAAAGGAGCAATCTTTCTGTGTTAAAGACATTAACAGTATCCTTGTAGGTATTGTGTTTCTGTCCACAAATACAACATTTCTAAGGAGGAAGAAAACTCCCCCAGCACCCCTTAAAAAAAAAAAAAAAAGCTCTAAAGACATTCAAAGGGAATGCAGCTTATCTAGGGATACTTTCCTTCAAAAATTTAAGGTAATTCTGTAGGACCTCAAAAATAATGAATAACAATAAAAATTAGTAAAGAAGGCTATGAGAAAATAATATTTCTTCTCCATACTCTACAGCACTTGCTCCAGTTTCTACACTCTGGACTTGCTGATCTAAAATTAATCAATATTTTTGTAAATAAAATACTCCATCAAAGTTCTCACACCTCAAAGAGGTTGTTTAATTGTAGCAAATATAATTTTGGTTTAGATATTTTCCTGGGGATGACAATAACTGCTATGAATGATTCTGGTACCCCTACATAAGCTGCTGTTGGATGAAAGCACATCTTCATAAGGCTGTTCAGTGCCTGAAACAAATACAGGAGTATTTGTGGATGCAAACTGTTCTTTGAGGAAAATTGCTGTATGCATAATGTTCTCAAAATGAACATATATATGTGTGTGTATATATATAAAAAATTGAAGAGAGTTATTAAATAAAAAATTCGGACTCTGTTCAGAGTAGAATTACATTTTATAAATACAGTGAGAAATGGCCTTATAAGGAAGGTGCTGCTGTTGGTTGTTTCCAGTATTAACCAAGAACTGAGGAAAGCATGCTTGGAGCCCAGCAGGTGGGGGTTTGGTGAGGCCCCAGGCAGGCAGCYCTAACCCTGGAACGCCCTGGCAGTGTCTGAGCCGCTTCACTAATGTTTGTTGGTGTAGTTAACCATGAGTTAACCATGGATGCTGCTTCTGTGTGAGTAACACATCACCTGGCTTCCTAAAGCCCACCACTAATTGCAGGAGTTCCTACTCAAAAACACCTCAAGGAATTATGAACCATGCTCGGAGCATTRATTCCTCTACAAAGTTGGTTTTACTTTAGCAGGATTTTTTTGTAAGCCTGATGAGTTTGTGAGTACCTCCTTCCCAACACTTTTTCAGTTGTCCTCCAAAGACTTGTAGCTCTTCAKGTGAAGGAACACTTGGACATTACCATTGTGGTGCCATATTTATCCACTGTCAGGATCCTTAGAGAGTCATGGGAGAAGATGAGCTGAAGATTTTGAGATGCTAAGAGTTGAACTTAGCTGGTAMAATTTTGAATCCGTGAGAAATATTTCAATCCCTTTTGCATGTGACCTGCCATGAGTTTACATATATGTTACTGTCTTTCTGTGCAAAGTAATCGCTGAATATTAGAGCAGTTTTACTTACAGTTCAGTTTGAGTTTTAACTCTGCTGCTTGAATTAACAAAAAACACGTGCATTGCTGCCACATAATTGGCTGCTTTTCTCTGTTTCTATTTCTGCTTATTTTTGAATGAATGTCTTTGCAGCGTGACAGAATCACAAGCTTCAGAAGAGCAGCAGTGAAGAAAGAGAAGCCTCTCATTCAGCATCCTATTGACTCTCAGCCTTCCATTAGTGAGATCCCACATGCCCAGCTCGTTGATGAGCGTTGCATGAACTTATCAGAAAAAGAAGTTATGGATCTCTTCGAAAAAATGATGGTAAGGTGTTGGTGTGGCCTGAGAACTGTCCTGTTCCTCTGTGTAGCTCTGCTCTGCTCAATGAAGCTGTGAATGCCTTTTGAAGGATTGGATAAGTGTTAATTACTGCTTGCTTGATTTGCTTGTTAGATTAAGGGATTAGTTTTTAACTTTTCCAAGTAATGTTAATTGAAGCAGACAATAGATCTGTCTCCCAGGGACCAACAGTTCTTTGCCAAAGCTGTTCACCAGCAGTTAATACAGTAACATTTCCTTGGCTTGCTTGTAGTCTGAAGTTACTTTGACTTTTAGTGGCAAGCCTAGTCATAACTAAWAATGAATGCACTGTATTCAATCAGTTATTAACTTAAAACAGATTTAATCGGGCAGAGCATTTTTACTTTTAGGCTTGTTTTAAGTACATCAGTTGGGGCAATTTCACCTCTGCCCCTTCCCCAAGCTAATATTCCRTGTAATAACAGCCTTCTGATGAGAAAGTGTAGGAATGGTACCCATTGTGGTAAAGGTTCATTCAAAACACAGGAACATCACAAGAGCTGACACTTCAGGATCAGCTTGAGGTGTACAATTCTTGGGTTTGTCCTCTAGTTTTACTTCCTGAGCGAAATTTCAGAAATGTTAACTACCCTTKATGCAATTTAAATTTTGCATTAGTCTCAAAAATAGTGATGTGRCAACATTAAATGAGAAAATTGGATAGGGCAAAATCAAACACACACAGATAAACTGGAAAAAGTCACTTCTGTTTGAAAATTAATTGTCTGACAAAGTAGCTCAGACAGAGCAAAGACCAATTAAAATAATGATATGTGTTCCTGACATTGTGTGATCTGTTTCTTTACAGGAAGACATGAACCTAAATGAGGAACGTAAAGCTCCTTTAAGAGATAAAGACYTGAGCACAAAACGTGAGATGGTTGTCCAGTACATTTCTGCAACTGCCAAATCCGTAAGTASTCACCTCTCCCAGGCAGACCTGAGTAAGAAGCTTAACTTTCTGACTGTTATGCTTTTCACACTGGAAACTTCAAATTTTAGATTGGATTTATCTAACAGTGGTAGGAAAAAAAAGAAAAGTGTCCTTACTAACACACTTTAAAATGTTTGCAGCTGCATCTGAAATGTTTGTTTACATTTCAGATGGGCTGTGTAAAATCTTGATCCTTTCTTGCAAACTATAAGAAATTGCAAATCCAATGATGCAGATTCATGAATGGAACCTGAGCATATTTCTGTGCAATTCATCTTAGGAATTTTTGRTTCTAAAAGGTTTTGACTTGGTTGTTTCAGGAGCGATGTATCTACTAGATTACTTTAATGAAAAGATGGTCTTAAAACCCGTTTCAAATTACATTTTGAATAGAAAAATATTTTGACCTTTCATTGGTATTGATTATTCTCTGTAGTTTAATAGATTGATTAGCCCTTCATGCAGAATTTTTGAAGTCTGTAGTCTTTGGGCTGCAAGAAGTGGAAGGAAATGTATTTCTTCACCCCCAAAAATATTGGGGCATCAATAATTTTCAAGTAGCAAAGAGCTGCAGCTGATTTTCTGCAGTTGAACTGTTCGTATGAAGTAGTTATTAAAGACAACAGGAATGCTTCTCTGTGTTAAAAGCTGACTGTGGTAAGTATAGAAACAGATTTTGCCCTGCTTTGCTCCATTTTTTGTTGCATGAAGAGTTGCAAGGAAAGTAGTGGTGAATCCGAGGAGCTGAATAAATTGAATGTTGGGCAGAATTGGTGGTGAGGGGTAGCTCTGTATGGTCAGGTGACAGAATTTGCTATCAGTCTAATTCTTCAATATAATTAGGTAATTAGGTGATTTTATTTGGAAATTCAGATAAATCTCACCTTTTGTCACCTAATCTCACACTGAAGTGTGCAGTGAAAGGAAGCCCATGGAAATGAAGCCCATGCTCAAATACAGAGTGGCAGCAGTGGCCTCATTTCTGCAGAGCTGAGCCTGAGTGCTGAACACTCAGCATTCAATGATCTGTTCTGTTGTGGAATATTCTGGCAAATTAGATGATGTTGGTGTCTGCCTAAGGACTCTGTAAGCATGGACTGCAAGCAGTRCAGTTGGCTTGTCTCTTTTTAACCTTGGAAATCAGCTCTGCAGAGTTAAATTTCCRAAAATTAAGATGACAATGACATGCAATTATTATGCAAATGCCTTGCATGAAACTTTACAAACTTCAGTGAGGGAAAGCTTGTGTTCTAATGGTGATGAGATGGTAATGAAAATGGTGATTTAGTTSCTGAGAGGAGTGCTGTTCCTGCATGAGTTCATCTTGAACAAAATCCACAGTCCTTTAGTGTGTGCTGGAAGGAATCCAGTGCTTTAAGCAACATACAAATGATTGGAGAATTATTCAGGCTTATGCAGAGAATGTTGTGAACTATGAACTACACAGTCCTGGGAAACTCATAATTATGCTTAGTAAGGTTTTTGTCTCCACTTAGGAATCARTATAAAATCTCAAATTTTTCTTAGTATGCAGAAATAATTCATTGAAGCAGTAGAAAGTAGAAATGGAAACATTTGCATTTTTTTCCAAAAAGCAGTTGAACAATGGTGATCTCTCATGTGTCCTGCTGTTGAAATGGAGCTGCCCCAAACCCCAGAGTTGTGTAGCTGAGTAAGGAAAGCATGGCTGCCATTGCATGGCTTCTGCTGGAATTGTGCTGCATTCCTGCCCTGTGTGTGCTGCAGCATGGGACCCTTCACAGAACGGGCAATCTGTGTGTCCAAATTACTAACAATTTAAAATTGAGTCATCCTAAAAGGTTCTCCTACATGAATGTGCACTTTGAACTCAAGTCAGCAGCAGTGTGGATGTTTTACACATATGCAAAGTGTTTTTCCTCGAGGAAAAACTGCTCCCATTGAAGTTTGTGTGCTTCAATACATCCTTCTTGCAATTGAATCACAGCATTTGAATGGAATCATTCAGAAATACTCATTACCTTTCTGTAGCATGTTATCCTGATTTAACTTTCAAATAGCTAGCATCTTGATTATTGAAAAAATAAATCTAAAATACAGAGCTTAATTTTAAAATGTTGATTGGGATCTTCCAATGGCACAAAATCTCATTTTCACTTTTAATTTCTTCTTCTGTTTAGTCCAACTACTATTCTGCTCAGACGAATTCAAGCCCTAATCAATCTTTACTGCCTCATGAATTGTCAGAGTTTCTTTTCTTCAGGACTGTCTTCCATGAAAATGCTGGTTGCATTCAAAATTACCTGTCTTTAAGTTTTCTACCTTCTCCTTTTGTCACAGATAAATGTCTTCCTTTTTTTTACACTGAAAATACTTGGACCTTCTGCTTCGAGCTGACAAAACACCCTTAACAGTTGATGTGACTTTTCTTGCAGTTCATTTCATGTTTGTATTAATTAGGCTTTTGATCTCTCTCCCTTCATGTGAAAATATCACTCTCATTTGCYGATGTTGTCTTAACCAAATGATTTTAAATTTGGTGCTTCATTTTCTCTGCCTGTGTGCCATCTGCAGCATGTTGACCATGCTTTTCTGAAACACTTTTCTGCAGCATTCTGAGGCAGAAAGGAATTTGGGGTTCAGTGGGTGAAGAAAGTTTTCCTTTCCCTTGGGGAGTGTAGGACATGTAGCACTGATGAGCTGGATGCTTTCATGGGAAGTGATTTTCTGTGCTTCTCATTCCTTCTCTCGCTTGAAGAGAAAGATTGTTGACCATGGAAATTACACTTGAGAACTCTGAAGGATTGGAATTGTGTTTGATAACTGAACCTAGTGACATTTTGTGCCCTATTGAATAGTTGAACACTTGTGAGAGAGGAAGATACTAAATTAGGAGAAGAGATTGTCAGGTGATGGCAGTCCCTTCTTGTGCTTCTGGAGGAAACTKCATCAGCAAAGAAGTTTGACTGTGAAAGACTTACAGAGAGTTCTGTTTCTGAAAGACATCCTAAAGGAGTAAGGGAAGAGATAAGAGTAGAAAATGAGCAGGTGGAGGCTGAACAGATCCAGTCAAATTCAGATCTCAGAACCAAATCAGCTCTTGATCAGATAAGTGGTTCTTCACTAACCTGGCTCTGCTATCAGCTGGCAGCAGATGAGCTGAGGAGGATTTTGGGGTGTTTGAGCAGAGATGCATTGTCCTGCTGTTCCCAAAACCAGCACAGATGTGCTGCCTTCCTGCAGAGCTTCCTCTGTGCAAAGTCAACCTTTTGTGCATCAATACAGAGAGATGCTATTCCATGGTGAAGAGAAGATGGCATTCTGAAAATCACTGTTTAATTATCCATGTAATTAAAAGCATCCATACTGAGCAGTTGAATAAAAAATGTCATGTGAGATTTTCTGAAATGCAAGTCGGAGTTATAACTGTAGGCTATGTTTTTGATTACAAAAACTTAATTAAATTCAGTGGTGACATCATCTGAACAGATCAAAAGCTCCATAATAAAAGCAGTTGTTACACATTCAAGGAAGTCAGTATGCCATTCTTGTGYTCTGTAGTGTTCTCAGTGTCATATATAGAATATCTGACCTGATAATTTGAACAAAATGGCATATTTAATCTTTCCAGATGTAGCTGTCAAGCCAGGTATGTAGTTATTTGCTGGTAAATGTGTCAAATACTGATGATTCAGCAGCAGAACATAAGAATTTGCAATTGTTTCTCCTACAGTAGAGCTACTGTTTTCCTGTTGAGAAACTCTAACCCCTAAAGTTTGATAAAGTAATGAAAGAATGTCACTACTACTAATGATTAAACACTGAAAAATGTGTGTGCAACTACATCCTACTAAGTACTTTGCTGTGTTTATTTATGTATTATTATTATCTTTTTCACACAATAACCTCTCTTGGCTGACCACTGCATGCAGATAGTCGGAAGTAAAGTTCCGGTGAGTACGAACATGAGAGTTTTGTTTTTTCTTGTGAATACACTTCCCTTTTTAGAGATTAGGCTGGAATATTTTGGACTTTTATCTGGGATTTAAAAGTTCCGTGGGCACAAATGAATGCTTCTTTTATCCAATAATTATCAATCACCTCAGTCATGTTTATCTTATCAGTACAAGATCATTGTTTTTACATTTGAGGGATCTCTTCAAGTTTTCAGGAGGCTTTTTCCAAATACTTCAGACTCACTGAACTCATCTCTTCATTGTGAGCAATAAATAAAATATAAGCTTGTCTTGCTTTTTATTGAAGGTAGGCACTTGAAATTTTAAATGGGCAGTATTTGATTTCTTCATTCTGTTTAGATGTGGAAGTTCTTTATGTCCTAATTGTTATTCATAGCTTATCTTGGAAATGCTGACTGCCACAGGTCAGTGTGAGAATAAGATTAATTTATAGGATTCATGAGGTCAGTAAGTTTAAGATGAGTTTAAGATCACAGCAAGCTTAACTTTTCTCTTATTAAGGACTCATCTACATTATAGAGAATAGTTATGACTTAAAACTGTCTAATCATGGCCTCAGATGTAGTTAAATATATAAGAATTTAATGTGTAGGATAAAATCTTCTCTGTTGGCTTTGTTTTATTCAGTCTGGTCTTTAAAGAGACTTTTCTCTTTGTGTTCACCAGTACTTTTTAGTTTTGTACACAGTATTGGTTCTTCCCCAGATGGAGGAAAACACCTTAATTTTGCTTGTGTATGTACAGGTATTTGACTTTTGAGGGGACAAATTATTAATTTTCCAGCTCAGTGTRTTAAAACCAGTTTCAAATAATCCCTGCTGCTGTGTAATTTCCATATGGTATGAATTAGCCTGAACAGCTGCTTYGTGAAGAGATTATTTTATAAAAGGAGCTGATATTCCCACAATGGCTAGAGGAGAAACTGTGTTTTCTTCCCCATGCCTTTGAGTTCAGGGTCTGATAGAGAGCTCTGCATTAAAAGCATGTTTTTGTGCAAATAATGTGCTAAATACTAAAATAAGAGCTGCTGTGCCTGGGGTATGGCTTCAGTGTGTTACTGCTAAATGAGCACTTGCCCCTCAGCATGCTTCTTGCAGGATTCATCCTTTAGGAATTGCTGCATCTGCCAGCACACAGAGCTATTTCCTTGAAGATTTACAGATATACTGGGATTAGGGAGGAGAAGAATTGGAGGATGTTCCTGGGAGAAGTGTTGGATTGTAGTGAGAATTGCAGAGAAGGGTTTTCCCTGTTCATGGAGAGCTTGTCATGGAAAYGATGGAGAAATGTGCCTGTCCTGCAAGGCATGGGAAGGAGACTTAGCAGAGCTCACTGTCCSTTCTCTGAACTTCTGGCTGTTGTGAGGAGTCACAGATCTTCTGAAATTAAGGGAATGGACAGAGCAGAGGCAGCAAGATCACACCTTGST